AAAAAAAAAAAAAAAAAAAAAAAAAAAAAAAAAAAAACTTGTGTATACACACAATATAGTATTATTCAGCTCTAAAAAGGAAGTAAGTTCTGACACATACTACAACATGGATGAACTTCGAGGACATTGTGCTAAGTGAAATAAGCCAGTCACAAAAAGTACAAATACTGTATGATTCTACTTATGTAAGGTACCTAGAATAGTGAAATTCATAGAGACAAAGTAGAATGGTGTTTGCCAGGGGCTGTGGAGAGGGAGAATGATAACTTGTTTGACAGGTATAGAGTTTAAGTTTTGTAAGATGAAAGAATTCTGGAGATTGGTTGCACAACAAGTGAATATATTTAGCAATACTGAACTGCACACTTCAAGAATTGTTAGGGTGGCTGGTGCACTTGCTCACGCCTGTAATCCAACATTTTGGGAGACTGAGGTGGGAGGATCACTTGAGCTCAGGAGATGGAGACCAGCCTGGGCAACATGGCAAAACTCTGTCTCTACAAAAATACAAAAATTAGCCAGGCTTGGTGGCTCATAGATCTGTGGTCCCGGCTACTCTGGAAGCTGAGGCAGGAGGATTGCTTGAACCTGGGAGGCAGAAGTTGCAGTGAGCCAGATCATGCCACTGCAGCCTGGGCAACAGAGTAAGACCCTGTCTCAAAAAAAAAAAAAAAAGAAAGAAAGAGAGAATTCCCCTTTCTGTAGTTAAGACACCAACCTGATACTTGGTTAAATATTTGTTTCATTTTGTTTTCCATTTTTAAGGATTTTTTTCCACCTTAACTTAATTCTGTCTTGTGTAACATGGTTACGTTTCTATAGTTAAATGATACCACAAATGCATCAGAAGAAGTGCAGTTAGATCATGTTCTCTCCCCATTGGCAATCATTTTTCTTAGTACTTGATTTATGCTTCCATTGTTTGTTTCTACAATTGTGGTAAGATATGTATATAATAGGCCGGGCGTGGTGGCTCACACCTGTCATCCTAGCATTTTGGAGGTTGAGGCAGGAGGATCGCTTGAGTCCAGGAGTTGGAGACGAGCCTGGGCAACATAGTGAGACCCTGCCTCTACAAAATATACAAAAACATTAGCTGGGCATGGTGGCGTGGTCCCAGCTACTTGGGAGGCTGAGGTGGATCACTTGAGCCTGAGGTTGCAGTGAGCTGAGATCATGCCACCGTACTCCAACCTGGGTGACAGAGTGAGACCCTGTCTCAAAAAAAAAAAAAAAAAAAAAAAAAAAAAAATATATATATATATATATATATAAAATAACAGTTCCCATTATAACTTTTTTTTTTTTTTTTTTTTTTGAGACGGAGTCTTGCTCTGTCGCCGGGGCTGGAGTGCAGTGGCCGGATCTTGGCTCACTGCAAGCTCCGCCTCCCGGGTTCACGCCATTCTCCTGCCTCAGCCTCCCGAGTAGCTGGGACCACAGGCGCCCGCCACCTCGCCCAGCTAGTTTTTTTTTTTTTTTTGTATTTTTTAGTAGAGACGGGGTTTCACTGTGTTAGCCAGGATGGTCTCGATCTCCTGACCTCGTGATCCGCCCGTCTCGGCCTCCCAAAGTGCTGGGATTACAGGCTTGAGCCACCGCGCCCGGCCCATTTTTTTTTTTTTTTTAAAGACGGAGTCTTGCTCTGTCACCCAGGCTGGAGTGCAGTGGCCCGATCTTGGCTCATTGCAGCCTCCGCCTCCGGAGTTCAAGTGATTCTCCTGCCTCAGCCTCCCAAGTCCTGGGACTTCAGGCACTCGCCACCACACCTGGCTTATTTATTTATTTATTTATTTATTTTAGTAGAGACAGGGTTTCACCATATTGGCCAGGCTGGTCTCAAACTCCTGACCTTGTGATCCCTCCACCTTGGCCTCCCAAAGTGCTGGGATTACAGGCATGAGCCACCACGCCTGGCTTAACAATATTTTTTAGAATCAGTCGTCAGTGTCTCACTATGTTGCCCAGTCTGGAGTGCAGTAGCTATTCACAGGCACAATTAAAGCACATTACAGCCTCAAAATCCTGGTCTTAAGTGGGACTCAAGCAATCATCCTGCTGGAGTAGCTGATAATACAGTCTGGCACCATCACACCTGGCAGCATTTTAGCAATTTTTTTTTTTTTAATTGAGACAGAGTCTCCCTCTGTCACCCAGGCTGGAGTGTAGTGGCATGATCTCGGCTCACTACAAGCTCTGCCTCCCGGGTTCACGCCATTCTCCTGCCTCGGCCTCCCCAGTAGCTGGGACTACAGGCGCCCGCCACCACGCCCAGCTAATTTTTTTGTATTTTTAGTAGAGAAGGGGTTTCACCATGTTAGCCAGGATGATCTCGATCTCCTGACCTCATGATCCGCCTGCCTCGGCCTCCCAGAGTGCTGGGATTACAGGCGTGAGCCACCGCGCCCGGCCCATTTTAACAATTTTCAAGTGTATAATTCAGTAGCAGCACAAAGTACATTTGGATTGTTGCGCAAGCGTCACTATTAGCTATCTCCAGAACTTTTTCATTATCCCAAATTAAAACTCTGTAACCATTAAACAATTATTATCTGCTGGGCTTGGTGGCTCATGCCTGTAATCTCAGCACTTTGGGAGGCCAAGGTGGGCAGATCGCCTGAGGTCAGGAGTTTGAGACCAGCCTGGGCAACATAGCAAAACCTCTCTCTAGTAAAGATACAAAAATTAGCTAGGCGTGGTGGCAGGCGCCTGTAATCCCAGCTACTCTGGAGGCTGAGGCAGGAGAATTGCTTGAACCCAGGAGATGAAGTTTGCAGTAAGCCGAGCTCATGCCACTGCACTTCAGCCTGGGTGACAGTGCAGGACTCCATCTTAAACAACAATAACAACAAACCATAACTCTTTATTACCTCCTTCCTCCTTGCCTCTGGTAATCACTATTCTGCTTTTTGTCTATGAATTCGACTCATCTAGGTATGTCATATAAGTGGAATCATACAATATTTATCCTTTTGTTTCTGACATTTCATTTAGCATAATGTTTTCAAGGTTCATTTATGTTGTATATGTGTCAGGATTTAATTCTTTTTAAAAGCTGAACAATATTCCATTGTAAATATACACCATATTTGGTTTATTCATTTGTCCATTGATAGGGCTGTTTCTACATTTTGGCTACTGTGAATAATGCTACTATGAACATGGGTGTACAAATATTTATTTGAGTCTCTGCTTTCAGTTCTTTGGGATATATATGTAGAAGTGGAATTGCTGGATCATATGGTCATTCTATGTTTTATTTTTTGAGGAACTACCATACTGTTTTTCTTTGGAGGGGAAGACAAAGTTTCAATATTTTGCCCAGGCTGGGCTTGAACTCTTGATCCTCCTGCCTCAGCTCTGTGAGTAGCTAAGACCACAGCGACATGCCACCATACTCCATATTTTGTGTTTTCTTTTTTTAAATTTTTTCTTTGAATTGAGACGGGGTCTCCCTATGTTGCCCAGGCTGGTCTTGAACTACTGAGCACAGGGGATCTGTCTGCTTCAGCCTCCCAAAGTGCTGGGATTATAGGTGTGAGCCACCTTGCCTGGTGCATATATTTCCTTTTTCTTTTTTCTTTCTTTTTTTTTTTTTTTTTGAGGCAGAGTCTTGCTCTGTCACCCAGGCTGGAGTGCAGTGGTGCGATCTCGGCTCACTGCAAGCTCCGCCTCCCAGGTTCACGCCATTCTCCTGCCTCAGCCTCCTGAGTAGCTGGGACTACAGGCGCCCACCACCATGCTCTGCTAATTTGTATTTTTAGTAGAGACAGGGTTTCACAGTGTTAGCCAGGATGGTCCCGATCTCCTGACCTCATGATCCGCCCGCCTGGCCTCCCAAAGTGCTGGGATTACAGGCATGAGCCATGGTGCCCTGTCCAGTCTCAGGTATTTCTTCATAGCAACGTGAAAATGAACTAATACATATCCCAGAACCAGAAAATGTGAGAGTAGGAAAACAATTTACTGTCCTTGGGAACAGATAGACTTTTGGTCAGTCGGACTAGAGCAGAGCTCTATTGTTGGACAAATCCTAAGTTCAAAACATTTTATGTGTTGGCGCTGATGCATGCAATTGCACTATTAGTGTTTTATTATTTGACGTTATTGGCCCATATTAACTTGGAGAATTAACTTTCAGATATTTAATTAACACATTAGAGTGAATAAATGTATCAGGCTTTTCCAACAAGACATTCAGCCTAATATAGGTTTGGAAAGAAGGTAAAGAACTAAGTCTAGCATAGGGCTGCTTGCTTGGAGAGTAGATTTGTTTTGGAAACCCTGGGCAGAGGAGGCATAATGGCGGTAGACACATACCAAGGAGCAGAGGGCACAAGAAAAGGTGATGCATTTGGAATATTCACCATTTTATGTTAGTTCCATAAGATCCAGCAGCCAACCAGATTTTGGTTATGTGTTACCAACTTTCAACTCTAAAAAGTACTGGCAGTTTAAATAACTTTATTATAATAATGAGGTAAAAACTTAAGAATAGTATGAGCCGGGAACAGTGGTTCACACCTGTAATCCCAGCACTTTGGGAGGCCGAGGCGAGCGGATCACTGGAAGTCAGGAGTTTGAGACCAGCCTGACCATCATGGTGAAACCCAGTCTCCACTAAAAATACAAAAATTAGATGTGGTGGTGGATGCCTATAATCCCAGCTACTTGGGAGGCTGAGGCAGGAGAAGCTCTTGAACCCAGGAGATGGAGGTTGCAGTGAGCCCAGATCACACCACTGCACTCCAGCCTGGGCAACAGAGCAAGACTCCATCTCACCAAAAAAAAAAAAAAAAAAAAAAGTACGTGATGCTCTGTGATGGTAATCTTTAGATATACATTTTGTGTTTCACAAATAAAAGTTTTAAATTCCTAAGATACTTTAAAACACAAACGTCACGTCATAGGATATGTATAAACCACAGGCAACACTTATTCTTTATTCTCAATGCACTAAATAAAATTTCAGACACCCAGATAGAAAACACAGGACTGAATTCATTTAAGACAGGGAATACTTTATTCAAAACCCATCACAGAAATGGACAGCTTGGGTCTGTAACAAAGCATTCATGTTTTAGAGCATAGGTCAGTAATTGTATATAAGAGCATACACTGCTACATACAAATTAACTGAGCAGACCACAACTTTTCAACGTTTAAAACAGAATAAGCTTCCCTGTAAAAGCAGCACCTTTGTGACATTTTAACTTTAGTATTCCTCTCCTTCTTCCTCACCCTCTCCTTCAACAGAATCCACACCAACCTCCTCATAATCCTTCTCAAGGGCAGCCATGTCTTCACGGGCCTCTGAAAACTCGCCTTCCTCCATCCCCTCACCCACATACCAGTGAACAAAGGCACGCTTGGCATACATCAGGTCAAACTTGTGGTCCAGGCGAGCCCAGGCCTCAGCAATGGCTGTGGTGTTGCTCAGCATGCACACAGCTCTCTGAACCTTGGCCAGGTCTCCACCAGGCACCACAGTGGGAGGCTGGTAGTTGATGCCAACCTTGAAGCCAGTGGGGCACCAATCCACAAACTGGATGGTACGCTTGGTCTTGATGGTGGCAATGGCAGCATTGACATCTTTGGGAACCACATCACCACGGTACAACAGGCAGCAAGCCATGTATTTACCATGGCGAGGGTCACATTTCACCATCTGGTTGGCTGGCTCAAAGCAAGCATTGGTGATCTCTGCTACAGAAAGCTGTTCATGGTAGGCTTTCTCAGCAGAGATGACAGGGGCGTATGTGGCCAGAGGGAAGTGGATGCGGGGGTAGGGCACCAGGTTGGTCTGGAATTCTGTCAGGTCAACATTCAGGGCTCCATCAAATCTCAGGGAAGCAGTGATGGAGGACACAATTTGACCTATTAACCTATTCAGGTTAGTATAGGTTGGACGCTCAATATCAAGGTTTCTACGACAGATGTCATAGATGGCCTCATTGTCTACCATGAAGGCACAATCAGAGTGCTCCAGGGTGGTGTGGGTGGTGAGGATGGAGTTGTAGGGCTCAACTACAGCTGTGGAAACCTGGGGCGCTGGGTAAATGGAGAACTCCAGCTTGGACTTCTTGCCATAATCAACTGAGAGACGTTCCATGAGCAGGGAGGTGAACCCAGAACCAGTTCCCCCACCAAAGCTGTGGAAAACCAAGAAGCCCTGAAGACCGGTGCACTGGTCAGCCTATTACAAAAGAGAGAAACAGAGGAAAGGTTAAGTTTTTGTTCTTTGTAGTACAATCATAGGAAATATATTTTCACTTTTCATACATCTCCCAGGATTTAGATCTTATTTTGACAAATGCTTTTTAAAAAATTCTCATTAACATTTACAAAATGATACCAAATAGTTCATTTTAACTGATAAAAACCCCACAAGAACGACTCATTCCACTCTTTATTAAAATAACAGTTCAATTCTGTTTGAAAAAAAAAAAGCAGTATTTCAAATGTGTTCTTTAGGCTCATTAATTTACTTTATTCTTGAAAAGAAACATACCAGCTTACGAATTCGGTCCAACACAAGGTCAATGATCTCCTTGCCAATGGTGTAGTGCCCTCGGGCATAGTTATTGGCAGCATCTTCCTTGCCTGTGATGAGCTGCTCAGGGTGGAAGAGCTGGCGGTAGGTGCCAGTGCGAACTTCATCTGGAGAAGGAGGGAGAGAAGGATGGAGGGAGTGGGTGAGTGGGTGACTAGCGGAGCCCCCCAGGACAGACCTCCTGTCCCAGCATCCTGGGATCTCACTTGGGTTACTGAGGTCAACTCACCAATGACCGTGGGTTCCAAGTCTACAAACACGGCCCGGGGCACATGCTTGCCAGCGCCCGTCTCACTGAAGAAGGTGTTGAAGGAATCATCTCCTCCCCCAATGGTCTTGTCACTTGGCATCTGACCATCGGGCTGGATGCCGTGTTCCAGGCAGTAGAGCTCCCAGCAGGCATTGCCAATCTGGACACCAGCCTGGCCAACATGGATGGAGATGCACTCACGCTGTGGGAAGGAAAAGTGAAAAAATTGTAAAATTAAGGCGTATTAGCATTTCAAACTTTTAGTAAACTTTTAAAAATATTTCTAATAATATACAGATATTTTTCAAAATTATTTGAGGTCACATCCCTAGCACGATACAAAGATTAAGGAAAATGACCTGCTGCAAATGCTGCATATGGGTGTGGTCTGAATAATGATGTCGCCTTGGCCCTGTTCAGCACATGGTACCAGCCCATTGTGCCTACTACCATGCTTGAATAAAAGACTTTTCATATTTAAAAAGTATTCAGTATTCAAAGCACAAATTTTGTAAAATGAAGTAAATTCAATTATGACATAATTGGGATTAATTTTACTGCTTTCTTCCCTTTTAAATAAAGAAGAAAGTTTCTTCTGAATAGGACTGACTTGATATTATAACATGGACATCTGTACTGCAGCTGAGGCAAGAAGCCACACCCTTCTGCAGTCTGTCTGCAGAATCCATCAATACAAGGGGTTTAGACAAGGTCTGCTTCTGCCTTCTGCATTGCTGCATTGCTGTATTTGCTGTGCCTGGTGCTAGCCTGTACTGTCTGCTACATTATTTAACAGAGCAAGCTCTATTTCCAGCAACTGCCTACATGATCTCATTGTGCTGTTTTGCCAGTTTTCCTCCTCTGACCCCGCCCGGGACCATGTGCCTGAATTGAAATGAATTAATGAAGATGCACTAGAACAAAAGACAACGGGATGCGGAGTATAATTCTTTGTCTGTAGCAATTTCATTCCTTTTTTTAAAGAAAAAGGTTTTTCCAGATCTTCTCCACTGTAAAAGCTGAAAAATTATCCGTATCTTAAAACACACACACACACACACACACACACACACACGTTCCTAAGTTAGAAACAAGCATCACATGAAAAGGTAGCAAACAAAGAATAAAAGCCCAGTGGAACGATAGTGAAATATTTATTTAAAACAACAAAATAGTATTTTAATCCTGAGATTCTCTACCCACCACATAATATTCATATTCTTTGCATCCAATAGAGGTTTTCTTCTCTGTGGTCTTTAGGGCTACCACTTTCATTGTCTATTCGCTGATGTGGTGGGGGCGGGGCGGAGGGGGGCGGCGGGGAAGGGCGTTTCCCTGGTCCTGACCATCAGGGTACCCTGGGGCTCACAAAGTGGGCTTTCTCCCTCGCTGAACGAGCAGCGCGCGCACACACACACACACACACACACACACACACACACACACGACCATCAGGGTACCCTGGGGCTCACAAAGTAGGCTTTCTCCCTCGCTGAACGAGCAGCACGCACACACACACACACACACACACACACACACACACACACACACTTCAGTCGGTCAGGGCAGGGCGTCCCCAGACCAGACATTAAAGAGTTTGTCAAGTGAATTGTGATTTTGCTCAAGAGAAAAAAAAAAGGTCATCTTAATTATAATAGCGAAGAAAACCCTTTTGGAGCCTACAGTTCCGCAATGATGAAAAGTTTTTTTTAAGTCAGCTCCTGACAGAGGAGGTTTAGTGAGGGCGAACCCCGCCCAGTGGCTCCAACGCCATAGAAGCCAGAAACAAACAACCCCGCCCCTGCGCCGCCCTGACACCCGCTGCCGGGGGCTCCAGTAGAAACTCACCATGTTTCCCCGGGAATGTGTGGTTATCTTTCCAAAACGCCAACGACCGCGAGGGGTCTTCCCACGCTAACCCCAGGCTGCGCTTTGTTCCCGTTCCCCCTCCCACATCCCCCAGCTCGCCCAACGCCCCCGCTCTTTTTGGGTGCCTCCTCCTCTCCCGGTCCCCAGAGAACGAGGCGAGACAGAAAGGGGCCCCTCGGCGTCTGCGAAACCGTGCGCACAGACACTGGACCCAGCCGGGACGCCCGAGACCCCTCGGTTGCGGCAGACGGGCTGCCCGCGACCCCGAAAGGCTGTAGGACAACACAGGCGCCCAGGCGCCGCCTTTGTTCCTCCCCAGCGCTCTGCAGCGCCCTGGGCGCAGTCCTGGCCGGGTTCCTGCACCCGCACTGCGGCGGCGGCGGAGCTGGAGGATTTGGGGTAAAGCTAAACCTCACAAAACACACCACCACCCTCGCCCAGAGAGCTTACGAAAGAAAAGAGCTTAAAGATTTTCCAAGCAGAGCCTGGGGGCGCTGACTCCACCCAACGGCCACAAAGAGCCAAAGCCGATTCTCACCATGGTTGCTGCTTCGCGACTGCAGAGCAGATGGCGGAGACAAGGAGGAGAAGGTTGTTGCTTCTTACAGCGCGACTCTTAGGCGGTCGATGTAAGAGAACCTGCGGCACATGGGCGGATGCGGCTCCATATATACAACTCGGTCACCATGGGGATGGGCCGGGGCCTGTTCCTGTTGGTCCAGACCCCCAATCTGCCCAGAGAAGCCAGGACAGGAGACTGGTGATTGGTGCAAACGACGTGGGATGAGGTAATCTCTCCCCCACCCCTTTTTCTCTAGCATCCGTAGACTGTTTGCATCCTTTAGACAAAGAGACCGTGCAGAAGCATTCTGCCGAGCATCCATTATGGGGTGGGGTCGGGGAGGGGCGGAAGAAGAAAGGGGACTGGGGTTGGAAGACTTTATGTTGCTTAAACCTCAAAATGCAGTTAAAATTATCTATGTGAGGTTTTTTCCCCCTACCCTTAATAACAGATTTATGTTCAGATTAAATATTTAAAGGAAAATTACTGCCAGCCCCTCCCTCGCAGTATATTAAACTCGACTACATTTTGTTAGGGTTCAATATCTCTAATTGCTTTAAAAATAAAGTGGGAGAGAAAATGGGCGTAATGCTCAAAACGGTCTGGGTAATTGTGATTTTTTTTAATTTAAAAAAAAGATTTAGTCATACAGTCATTCAAAATGGCTTCTCAGGTTCAACTAACTTATTTTCAGAGCTTCTTTTGCAGGCACATGCACACTCGAATAGCTAAATAAAACTGGAAGATGGAAATAATAACCATACTAAATAAAGAAGCGAACAAATAGTTCTAACATGGCAATAATCAACAGCAAGTGCACGTAGAGTAGTTATAATAGTTTACTAGAGGTATTCCTTTATGAGAAGTCTATGTAACACATTTTGTGTGGTGCATTGTCCTTTGGAATGAATCATCTTTCCTGATATAAAATTGGGAAAATACAAGGAGAAATAATTGAGCTCAGAAGTTAGTACTACATGTGTGCAGTTACATATCTGCACTGGACTTTTGTCTGGAAAGTAACAAGCAAAATAATAGTAATAACCAAGACACCAAATTAAAAAGAAGAAGAGAATAATATAATGTAAAAAGAAGACTATTTTGCAATGTTGCCTCCATCTACAGACAACTGTGAAACATCAGCTCAATAACTGCATTTACTTTTTATGCAGTTCTTATGTCAATTTGGTAAATATCCTCCTGCGAGTGGGCTTCTGACTGTGGGAATTTTAGCCAGCCTCACACCCTTGCTATTCAACTAGAGACTCTGGTGGTTGCTCAGTTGCCCCTTGGGACAAAAAGGCTTTGCTTTCACCCCTAGGAAATAAATTGGAGTAACATTGTCTTGCTATTTAGAAAGGCTCCATTCTCAGCAACGATGGGCTATGCAGAGTGAGTCACTGGATTTCGTACCACTGGATGTTGGTGATGAAATTTCAGAGGTAAGTAAGTTTGGCCACTAAAGTTGGAAATTTATTTTTTACAAATAATTTTTCCTTTTGGTTTTCAGCGGCAGATTTTCAGGGTGGGCAGCAACTACTCACACAGCACTCTGCGGAGCCCATTCATTCCTGCCAGGCTGGCAGGCTGAGCAGGGCGTGGGAGGGAGGGACTTGAGAATACAGCTGCTGCAGGTTGTGGTGTGACAATGGCGACCACGAATTTTTCTAGCCTGCCATCCACAGTTCTGCTTTACTTGTTCAATTTTGCTTCAGTAATATTTTCTGGAAAAAAAATAATATCCAAAATGCAAAAATCATTTTATCTACTTGTAACATATTTCCTAGGAAAAAATAATATTCAACATCATCTTATTTCCACCTCTTTAGCAAAAAAAAAACAAACAAACAAACAAAGAAAGCATATTTCAGAAGAGACAGGAGGATTAGGTATTTGAATGCTTCTTTCAGAACCCAGAAATATATTTAACAAAAATAAGAATTAAATGGCATAAGGAAGCCTAAGGATTAATAAGTAGCTCATTCAAAATACTTTCACAATTTTAATCATAAAATATATCAGACACTATTGGACCATAGCAACATGTACAAGTCTTTTTGGAATGAGAAGCAGAGCTTTGAATATTATTTTCTTTACAATATAAAAAGATTAATTGAGAAATATGTTATTTACCCAATAGTCTCATTTCTTTATGCAATTTCCCAAGATTAAATAAAAGAGAGGAGTGTTCACGTGGTTGATTCTTTGTAATTCTATCTCAGAGCCATTCTGTTCCTTATGTAAATGAGGGTTATTCCTTCTGCTTGGGCATATATAACAAGACCTAGGTCAGAAATAGACTATTTGAGCACTGATAATCTCAAATATATAAACAAAAGATCAGGGGATATAACTAATCTATAATTTTTGTTCCTTATTATCTGATTTAATAGCACACAAACTGTGGAAAGCAAAACTATTTTTCTTTACTAGTTCACCTCTTATTTTTATTGCCATTTTAAAAAACTTGACATCAATATACATGTACAAATATTCTGCTAATGGATTCATTCTTGTACACAGTAAGATTAGCATAAAACATTCTTCTTTCATAGTATTTATAGAATTTTAATCATTTATTTACATGTCTACATTTCTCCTCCATTAAAATGTAAGTCCTAGTTCCTGCCAAAGTGCCTAACTACAGTAGATGTTATACACCACGTTTGTTCAGTTAAATGAATAGCTCTCTGTGCAGTTTCCTTCCTTCCTTCCTTCCTTCCTTCCTTCCTTCCTTCCTTCCTTCCTTCCTTCCTTCCTTCTTTCTTTCTCTCTCTCTCTCTCTTTCTTTCTTTCTTTTTTTTGAGATGGAGTCTCGTTCTGTCACCCAGGCTGGAGTGCAGTGGCACGATCTCGGCTCACTGCAACCTCCGCTTCCCAAATTCAAGTGATTCTCCTGCCTCAACCTCCTGAGTAGCTGGGATTACAGGTGCTGGCCACCATGCCCGGCTAATTTTTGTGTTTTTCGTAGAGATGGGGTTTCGCCATGTTGGCCAGGCTGGTCTTGAATTCCTGACTTCAGGTTATCCACCTGCCTCAGCCTCCTAAAGTGCTGGGATTATAGGTGTGAGCCACGGTGCCCAGCCTTTGCAGATTTTCATTACCTATTATCATGCTTAGTAATGTAAAGATATTAGCCAGAGCGGTGGTTTACTCCTGTAATCCCAGCACTTTGGGAGGCCAAGGTGGGTGGACCACCTGAGGTTTAGGAGTTTGAGACCAGCCTGGAAAACATGGTGAAACCCTGTCTCTATCAAAAATATAAAAATTAGCTCGGGTGCGGTGGCTCACGCCTGTAATCCCAGCACTTTAGGAGGCTGAGGCAGGGGATTATTTGAGGTCAGGAGTTCGAGACCAGCCTGGCCAACATGGTGAAACCCCACCTCTACTAAAACAAAACAAAACAAAACACCAGCCAGGTGTGGTGGCTCGTGCCTGTAATCCCAGCTGTTGTGGAGGCTAAGACATAAGAATCACTTGAACTTGGGAGGCGGAGGTTGCAGTGAACTGAGATCATACCACTGCACTCCAGCCTGAGTGACAGAATGAGACTCTGTCTTAAAAAAGAAGATATTTAATTAAGTATTTTACCATTTATAATCAGCAAGCATTTACTGCCAACCCAAGACCATCCTAGGTGGTAAAGAGTTCAGAGGTAATAGCATGGTCTCTTTTCTCTAGAATCTTCCAATTTATTGGAATAATTGAGACACGTACATTCCTATAGGTTTGAGAATGACATGAACGTGTGTGTGTTTGGAGAGGGACCATGCAATAGATCCCAGTAGAGAGGATCTATTTCATGACTCCATGTATCATAACTTCTGAGGGAAACAAGAATTGTCGAACACTTTTTTTTTTTACATCTTCACCTCCTATTCATCCCTAAATCCATTTCAAACTGGATTCTGCTCCTATCACTCCTTTAAACTAAATTGCCTCCATGTTTGTTTTTTGTTTGTTTGTTTGTTTTTGAGATGGAGTCTCGCTCAAGTGCAGTGTCGTGATATGGGCTCACTGCAGCCTCTGCCTCCTGGGTTCAAATGATTCTCCTGCCTCAGCCTCTCAAGTAGCGGGGATTACAGGTGCCCACCACCATGCCCAGCTAATTTTTGTATTTTTAGTAGAGACAGGGTTACCCTGTGTTGACCAGGCTGGTCTCGAACTCCTGGCCTCAAGTGACCAATTTGCCTCAGCCTCCCAAAGTGCTGAGATTACAGGCGTGAGCCACCATGCCTGGTCTATCTTAGTTGTTAAATCCACTGGACACATTGTAGTTCTTGTTGACCTGTGACAGGCTTTGTCACAGTTGACTATTATCTCCTTCAAGACACTTTCTTCCCTTAGCCTCAAAAACTCTACATTTTCTGGGTTTCTCTCCTACATTTTTGTTTCCAGTCAGTCTCTGCTGGATCGTCCTCCTTTCCCTAATCTTCAAATGTTGGAATTCCTCAAGCTTCAGTTCTAGACCTTTTCCTCATTTTATTCTATGTGGTCTCATACATTTTTAGTGGATGGCAAGTGCATTCATTCCCAAGGCTTCAAATCCTTCCTATATGCCGATGACTTCTTTTATTTATTTATTTACTTTTAATTTTTTTTTTAGAGACAGGGTCTTGCTATATTGCCTAGGCTGGTCTCAAACTCCTGGCCTCACGTGATCCTCCTACCTCAGCCTCCCCACCCAGTAGCTGGGATTACAGGTAGGAGCCACTGTGCCTGGTGCTGATGACTTCCTTTTTTTTTTTTGAGATGGAGTTTCACTCTTGTCACCCAGGCTGGAGTGCAATAGCATGATCTCGGCTCACTGCAACTCTGCCTCCCAGGTTCAAGCGACTCTTCTGCCTCAGCCTCCGGAGTAGCTGGGATTACAGGCGCCACCACCACGCCCAGTTAATTTTTGTATTTTTAGTAGAGACTGGGTTTCACCATGCTGGCCAGACTGGTCTTGAATTCCTGACCTCAGGTGATCCACCTGCTTTTGCCTCCCAAGGTACTGGGATTACAGGTGTGAGCCACCTTGCCCAGCCTGATGACTTCCTGATATCTCTTCCTAGCCTCAGATCATATAGTCAATTTCCAGTCTCTGTCTTGTTTCCTCAGGTATCTCAAATTGAACTAATGTTTATTTATTTATTTATTTATTTATTTATTTATTTTTATTTAGAGACAGAGTCTTGCTGTTGCCCAGGCTGGAGTGCAATGGTGCTATCTTGGCTCATTGCAACCTCTGCCTCCTGGGTTCAAGTGATTCTCCTGCCTCAGCTTCCCGAGTAGCTGGGATTACAGGCACATACTGCCATGCCTGGCTAATTTTTTGTATTTTAGTAGAAATGGGGTTTCGCCGTGTTGTCCAGGCTGGTCTCGAGCTGCTGAACTCAGGCAATCCACCCACCTTGGCCTCCCAAAGTGTTAGGATTACAGGCGTGAGACTGTATATGTTTATAATGGAAGATTTTATTAGAAATGGTGGCTCTTGAATAGAATGGGAGTGGAATAAGTACTCTAAATAGGAAAAATAACATTAGGAAAGATACAGTATAATAATGAACTGTTGCCTGGATAAAGGAGGACAAAGAAATTGGCTTGATTAAGGCATTCGAGGGTGGGTAAGTGATGTGTTATATAGGGAGGGTGGAACTAGTTAATAAAATGTCTTGAATTTCAGTCTGAAGGAGTTTGGGATTAAGTCCATACACAGTATGAAGCCTTTATACATACATATATATACATATATGTGTGTATATATATGTATATATGTATATATATGCCTCCCAGCACTTTGGGAGGCCAAGGCATGAGGCTTGCTTGAGCCCAGGAGTTCGAGACCAGTCTGGGCAACATAGAGAGAGACCCCATTTCAACAAAAAATTTTAAAAATTAGCTGGGTAAGGTGGCATGCACCTGTGGTTCTAGGTACTTGAGAGGCTGAGGCAGGAAGATTGCTTGACCCTGGGAGGTCAAGGCTGCAATGAGCTGTGATGATTGTGCCACTGCATTCCAGCTTGGGCAACAGAGTGAGAGAGACCCTGTCACCAGGTAAAAAAACAAAACAAAACAAAAAAAACAGTGAAAAATTTATGAAGGGAACAGCATTTTCATAAAATTAATGTGACTGGTTTTTGGAGTAGGAAAAGAGACTGGAGAAGGAGACCAATACTGTTATTGCAATAATCTAAGCAGAAAGTCTCAGGCCATCATAAGGGATAGAAAGGGGTAAGAGAAGACATCATTCGAAGGAAGAATCCTTGTGGTGATTGGTTGGACATGTGGTAAAAAGGAAGGAGTCAAAATCAACCCTTAAAGTGTTTTTGTTCTTTTTTCTTTTTTTAGAGGCGGGGCCCAGGCTGGAGAGCAGTGGCATAATCATAGTTCACAGCAGTCTCAAACTTCTGGGTTCAAGTGATCCTCCCACCTCAGCCTCCTGTGTAGCTGGGACTACAGGGCCACACTACCACACTTGGGTTTTTTTGTAGAGAAGGGATCTCACTTTTCTTGCTCAGGCTGGTCTCAAACTCTTGGCCTCAAGCAGTGCTCCTACCCCAGTCTCTGAAAGTGCTGGGATCACAGGCGTGAGCCACTGTGCCCTGCCTAACCCTTAAAGTTTTTAGCCTGGAAGACTCAGAGAATGAAATGGTAGTGGTGCTGTTAACAGAATAGGGAAGTTGAGAAGGGATGCAAGTCTAAGCAGAAAATGCATTTGTGTGTGTGCGAGGCAGAGGGTGTTGAGGGCAGGAAACTTCAGTCGATGTGATCTAACAAGCTGAATGTTACACCATTTAGGTGATAAAGGAATTGAGGGCAGAAGTCTTAGAGGCTGCTGGGAATCTGAGA